AAGTTATCTCAATTTTTTTTTTCAATTTCTAATTTCTTTGATAACATTTAAAATATAAATTAATTTTATTTTAATTTTTTTAAAAAAATAAAAAGCATTAAACTAATCAATTTTTGTTATGTTAACAACTTTAAAGGTATTTGACATATTTTGATTAAGAAAAAGTGATTAATATCGAGTATTATTATTTTTTTAATTAAGGTCAGTCTATCTATGTCCCATTGACTATTTTATTAATTAATCAAAGCAAAAGAAAATAGAAGGTTTGTACATCAAGCTAAATTGTTTTTTTTCTAAATATGTTTCCAAATTGAAATTGGAAAATTCAAAAGTTACTTTTTACTTTGCTAGCCAGCTTTTGAAGTTTCAAAGACATCGATATGTTTCCTTCATTCAGTTAAGATATAATTTTTGTCAAACACATCATCAAATTTTTTTCAACTGATGAACTTTTATCTAAACACATAACTACTTATTTTTTAAAAAAAATATCAGCACTTTAAAAAGTTGTTTTTTAAGACAATCCAAGCATGCTCTTAGATCACAAGTTTGAGACTAGCACAATATAAATTGAACATTGCATTGACATTTAAATCAAAAAGATCAAAATGATGAAATATGTTATTCTCAACTTTAATCGTGTCAATATTAAGGGTTGATCATATATGAATTTTTTGATCATAATAAATAATTAAATTAAAATTGTCAAATTTTAACAATAAAGCTTTCAAATGATATATATTACATATTTTAATTTGATACCAGAGCTAGACTTATTTCTATTTTAATTTAAATAATATTATATATCATGGTTGTATAGTTCATCAAAAGGGATAATAATAAAACAGATAGAATACGTGTAAAAAATAAAATAAATGAAAATAAAATTTGAATTTAAAAAATCTAATCTAAATTATGAAACTTTATTTTTAAATTCCTTTATGAATATAATGTTTATTTTGATTAAAAAATATAATAATTTTTTAGCGTTTAAAGAGTCCAACCATTTTTTCTATCAAACTTTCTTTATGTGTCTTTTAAAGATTTTTTCGATTGTTAATGTGATTTATTATAATTTTTCTGTGATTTTAAATATGTAGATTTTATTTTTAAAAATTTACTTTTGATATTGAAATCCACAATCATAATTTTAAAGTTTGAATTTCAAATTTAAAGATAAAACTAATCAAATTATATTATTCACATTTGAGAATTGGGAAATAATTTTTGTTATATAAATAGAAAATAATCATTGGAGATCTTGTTGACGCAAAATATAATTAATTAGTCAATTAAGTTTTGAAGCTTAGTTCAAGTGATAAATTTTGAAAAACTTATGACTTACGTCACATGTTTGAGACTTGCGTCATGTAAACTACACCTTGTATCGACATTTAAATAGAGAAGGATATAGAGGTGCCACTGTTATTGATAACTAATAAAATAATGCGAAAATAAAATTATAAAGATTGAAGATAGAAATTGAAAGACATGTGAAATTTGGAAATTAAATCTCCCAATTTAAAGAGAAGTGCTGAGAATTCTAATTAACTTTAGTATTCAAAATTAATGAGTTAAAACTAATAATGATACTAATAGAATCAATTCAAAAACTTAGATAAAAAATGATTTAGACTCTTATTTCAAAGAAATTTCAGACAAAATTTAGTATAAGAATAATCATCATCTTTAATTTACGTGAAAAAATTAGAGTCTATTTGGATTGACTTAAAAAAGTAGTTTTTAATTTAAAAAATAAAAAGTCAAACTTTATTTTTAAGTCAAAAATAAAAAGTAGGGGATATTTACTTTTGATTTTTAACATTTCTAAAATCATTTTTAACCTTGTCAAACATTTCTAAAAGTTAAAAATGACTTTCAATTTTTATCAACTTTTAAGTTAATTCAAACTGTCTCTTAACCTCTTGAAGAGATAAAATTCATAGTCGCCACTCACATAAATGTAAAGAAAAAAAACATCTCAAATATTAATATTGATTATTGTCTTGTCTAAAATAACAATATTCATTTCAAAAAATCAATTTAAGAAAAATTAAATTCAAATATACTTTTATTACGAAATAATAACTACGACGTTTGAGTAAAAAGAATATTTCAAACTACGGAACTTTAAAATATAGAATTTCTAACTAGAAAACTGTAATTTGGACAATTCAACTTTTTGGGCTTTCTTTTGAGCTTCATGGTCCAATTTTCTTCTCTTGGGCTTAAATCCGAACACACATCCTTCATGATAAATTTATGGGTAACTTTCACATATAGCAATTAAAAAATTATATATGTATGCTATAGCAAAGTTTGCATAATTGCGCTCCATAGCAAACATGGAAACTGTATAATTCGCTATACGTATACAGTTGAAACAAATTGTTTAAAATGAAATGTATAAAACAAGAAAGAGAAAGACACTTGGACAGATAACTGTATAAAAACGAATTGTATGATTATAAGTGTATAGAACGATTATATACAATTTGAATTTGTATAAAATAAGAAAGAGAGAAAGACAAAAGAGACTTGACAAGGACTATACAATTGAATCGAATTGTATAAAACAAGAAAAAGAGAAACTAGATACAATTTGAAAATTGTATAAAACGAGAAAGAGAAAAAGGCAAAGAAACTGGGCAGGGAAATATTTTTATTGTATAATTATAAGTGTATAGGACGAAAATATATGTACTTGCATGTGTATATACAATTTTCTCACGCTTTATACAAACAGAAACACAATTTATACATTTCGTTTTTGTTTGTATAAGTGAGAAAGGCTAGGGTGGCGAGCGAGATTTGGTGAGTGGCGAGCGAGATTTGGGTGAGTGGTGAGCGAGATCTGGAAGAGGAGAGAGACGGGAAAAAATATATGTATTTATACAATTTTCTCTGCTTTATACAATTAGAAACAATTTTTATACACTTGTGTTTGTATAAAAAGTGAGAAAGCGAGCGAGAGATTGGAGGAGAGTGACGAGCGAGATATTTGAGAGAGAGGCGCCTGACAATTTTTTGCAAACGTTTGCTATGAAGCACAATTAAAGTAAACCCAGTTACTCATTTATTTTAGGTTATTAGTTTGCTATTATATACAATTTTCCCTAAATATATTCTTAATTTTTCATTCAAACCTATTAGTTTCAATGAAATTATCTCAATGTGGATGTTATTAATTATTACTGCCTTTAGTTTTACAAAAAATGATTTATTTGATTTGACACAGAGTTTAAAAAAAAGAACTTTTGATCATGTGATCCTAAATTAAAGTTATGTCGATTATAGAAAATGTTTTTTAATCTTGTGGTCTTAAACATGTTACATGAAAAATTATTACAAAAAAATGAAAGGTCATTCTTTTTTAATCAGACTAAAAATAAAAGGAGATTATTCTTTTTTAAACGAAAGGAGTATCCTGTTTCGAAGGCTACAATCAATTTTACGAGTTAACCCATATGAATTTCTCAATCACAAAAAATAATTAATTAATTAATTAAAAATATTTTCCCTTTGATGATTTAAACTTTTGTTAGATAGATTTCACATTTCAAATTGATATTCGAGCCACACTTATTTATATTTTTTATTAGAACAATTTGTCAGACCACACATTATATAACTAAATCTGAATGTACAATAGGATATTGCACGAACCACATTAATTCAAGAACAATAGATACGTATGTATTATTTCAAGACTATCCTCACTTTTTTGAGATTTATCTAGGTTAATACTTATATCATTAATTAGGTGAATATCATAAGATTAATCCTTGATGAAAATAAAAATAGTCGAAGCTTCTTTGCAAGCAAAAGAGTAAGCCAGAAACAAATAAATGACAGTTATATTATTATTGCATATTTAAACTCGAGATTTCTAGTTAAAAGTGAGCGATATCACCACTGCACTAATTCATGTTGATAATCATTTGATTTATTGTTACTATCATCCTTCACTTATTTGTTATAACGACCCAACCTCTTATATAAATTCTTTCTTGTATATTATTCACTTTGAATATGTTCTCTTATGTATCTTAAATATGTGTTGCATAAACTTTTCTAATAAACTGACTTTAATATAATATTAAATACAAAATTATATTTCTTATTTAATTTAATATAATATATCTACTATTTATATACAAGTGACAATAAACACATAGCTGAAAGTCAACATGTCTGCTTGCGCTTATTTATATTTCTAACTATTTGGCCTACTGGATTGCACTTCATATTTCAATCCCAAGATCTAGGGTTCAAACCTTACCAATATTATATTTTTTTTCTGTTTTGGTTTCAGTTTTTTTTTCTCCGTAAATCAATTATTTCATCCGTTTACGTTTACTTGTTATGTTACGCTTTTCAAAAGTCAATTTGATTAATTTTTATAGTTAAACTAGATTACATTAATTTGATACTTTAGCCAAAATATTTAGATACTCAAAACTATATTGCAATTTTTTATATATCAATATGATGAAAAATATATTGTAAAATGTTAGTCAATTTTTTTTTATGATTTTTCTTTAAAATGGAAAGTATGACAATTAATAGTGAACGGATGAAGTAATATTTTCGGTAATTGAAGACCTCTACATCTACTAATTGATTTATGAGATTTTCACCTTGAAAACTTGTTTTTTAATTGGTATAGGTCGTTGATTAATTTCATCTTCTTTATTGATTTGAGGCTTTTGACATTTCATATACGTAAATACATTTCTTATTCATATTTTAGTTATTCCATTTTAACAACACAAGAGACAATCAGTATGTCTGCTTCACATGTGTAATTTTATGTAATAATTAACAATATATTGATTCTTGAAATTCTATTTGTGTCATATATATTGGAAAAAGAAAATAATATATATTATTTAAAATTACATAAAATACTCTAAATTACAATAGTTAATAACTTAAAATATTTAAAATCAAATTATAATTTAATTAAATCTCTAAATTTTATTTGTGTCACGTGTCTGGTTAATAAATAAAAAGCAAATCTAAAACTAGATAAGAAGTTACATTCAAGAGAGGAACATCAGCTTCTTGGAGATATGGAAGGTCTTACAATAGTTGGAGCAACTCCTTGTGTTTCTTCTTCACTTCGTAGAATCTCTTCCAAAACAACCTGTTTGGCCTCCAGACTTACCCCAAAATCCGTCAAGAAGCACAGCCTAGCTGCATTGCAACCAGCATTTTATCTTTTCTCAACAAATGTCCCCAAAAGGCAAATTAGAGCTCGTATATTCTTACCCCATTTGGTTGCTTCTATGGTAAGAAGTTCGATTACAACAATTTCTTGACTACCCATTGAAGATTTTGCCCAACCCCACTTTCTCTTTTCTTCATATAAATTCTGTCCCTACAACTTGGGTTGAAAAAGTGTAATTTTTGTTAAATTTTCAAATGGGTACAGAGGATTCTGTATTGCAGGCCCTCAACTGATTTAGGATTGAGGTTTGCTGATTGATTGATTGATTTTATTTTTGGCTGTTTTTGGGGATTTTGTGTTTCAGGAAGAAGTGGAGCAGACTTATATCATGATTAAGCCTGATGGTGTTCAGAGAGGCCTTGTATGCTTCAGTATATTCTTCTTTCTTTGAGTTTGGATTATTAGAAAGACTTTAACTTTATGGTTTTGGCCAGGTTTTTTGATCTTCTGTTTGAATTTTGAAGATGTGTTTCCTTAATTGTTATAGGTTGGAGAAATTATATCCAGATTTGAGAGAAAAGGGTTTAAGCTAACTGGATTAAAGCTTTTTCAGTGCCCCAAAGAATTAGCGGAGGTTTGCTTTCATGAGCTCGATAATTTTTTTTTCAACAATTGACATTTCTATGCACTACTTTGTGTTCTTGTTCTTCTCTTGTAGGATTTGCACTGCTCCCCTAGTTAGTTGCTATGTTTTCTGATTCTAAGTGCACTTGCTACACTTGAGCCAAGGCCCGAGGGTCTTTCAGAAACCTCTCTACCTCCATGAGGTAGTGGTAAGGTCTGCTTCCACTCCCCAGACCCCACTTTTGGGATTCCATGGGGTATGTTGTTGTTGACATTTCCATGCAAGCATACTCCCCCTGGGTTCCCACAACCTCCCACTGAAAAAAGAAAAAAGGAAGAAAACATGTATTTCTTAATGTCTAAGAGATTCATGAACTGCTTTTTTTTTCAGATGTCCAAAAGTTTTTCCTCTATCTAACGAGGTTCATTTAATTCACTGGTTACCCTAATGCTATGAACCAATATGATTGTCTTGGTTCCAGTTGACTTACATAAAGATTGGAATTTGTAAAGTTGGACAGAATTCAATTTCAAAATTTGTATTTTGTTTGGACTACAAGACACGAAACTAATAGAAAAACAAATAATTTATGGAATAGTTAAGGATTGGAAGGTTTATGTACCAGAAGAAATCTTTAAGGGTGGGTGGAGTTGGGTGCCAAGGGAGCTTCTTACTAGCAGTTGCTTCTATTTATATCGTTGAGAATTCTTTTGTATTTCTTTTAACAGCACTACGATTATCTTTGCTTTATCAACCAAAAGAGAATTAAGATTTCCGAGTCAATTCATTCCTATTAACTGTGCCGTGTGGTTTAGTTGCTTAGAAGTTTTCAATTGTTACAGGAGCATTACAAGGATCTACAGTCCAAGCCATTCTTCCCCAAGCTGATTGACTACATTACATCTGGTCCAGTTGTCTGTATGGTAGAAATTCTTCCCATTTAACTCTCATTTCTGTCATTCACTTGGTCAAACCAATCAAATATATCAGCATAACATGAGTTTTAAACTGTATAATGTCTCCTACAGTCTGTATATTTGCTAATCTTGTAAATTGTATCTATTTTGGCAAGGCTTGGGAGGGTGTTGGTGTTGTTGCTTCAGCACGAAAGCTAATAGGAGCAACTAATCCTCTTAATGCTGAACCAGGCACAATTAGAGGAGACCTTGCTGTTCAAACTGGAAGGTAGGGCCATATATATTTGTTATTTTATTTGTTTGTACATGTTCAGCAAGTATTGAGTCATGGTGCTATAAGCTTTTGATGTTGATAAATTTACAAGATTTTGATGGCAATCTATGTGCAGAAATGTGGTGCATGGAAGTGATAGCCCCGACAATGGCAAGCGTGAAATAGGTAAGGGTTTTCCTAATTTAGCAAAACTAGTTGAGTAGCATGTAGAATTAACTTAATGTGACTTCCCCCACATGTTACTAAGTTTGGTCACCCGCCTTTGAGCTGTTAGCTGGACATACAGTAGAATCTTTACAGAAGTTCAGTTGTAGTACCTATAAGAGAAATCAAAAGGAAACAGCAAGAGTTCTTTTTATTTTTCTTGTTTTAGATATCCCCCCTCCCGGAAAAAATAAGTTTAAGTATTATTAAAGCTAGCTCCAAAGACACTGATAGTTGTAGGTCTTGCTTTGAGTGCCTTTTGCTAGATAGTTTTTCTCCAATGTGAATACACTTGTGTTCATTTTTAGCACCATAGTGATAATTAAGCATTTTGTCTATTCTCTTGTGCCTAATCACTAATTTGTGATTGAGGAATTGGTGATTTATTGGTCTCCTGCCTATCCATTCTGCAAGGTGTATATGGAGGAAAATAGCCTAGTTGTTTTTTGCCCTCTACTATAAGATTTGTATGCTGATAGTGAGTGGTAGTTCTTGGAAATTCTCTCACACACAATTGAAGCTGAAATCTACCTTTAGCAGAACACTTTAGTTTGTTCTTCTAGAAAAAATTAAGTTGGCCTTGATTCTCATTTAATTAGTGTTTTTCCTTATGTTTCCTTGCTGCAGGTCTTTGGTTTAATGAAGGTGAATTATGTGCATGGGCAGCAGCTCTAGAACCTTGGTTGGTAGAATAATACCTTAGCGTAGTTATATGATTCTTCATTTAAGTTTTGGAGGTTTGAGCTTAATCACTTGTTCGGCATATGTAATGCAAAAATACAAGCACTGTCATTGTATCATTTCCAGCATGGTTGGCCGGTTTATAGTAAGAGTCTAAGAGCGGCTCACTACGTGATATTTTTTCAAGTTTTCCACTTGATGTCAAACTGCAGAATTAAATTTGTAGTTCTTCTGTACTTCTGTTGGGTGTTAACCCCTCTTCACCATGGTCCCAAAACATCCTATCTTGCCATCCTTTTTCTGTTAAGAACATTGAGATGGAGTTCATTTTTACAAGGACACATATAGTTAGGGAGAGCAGTTCAATATTCATCTGCCATTTCCCACCTTTGAAATGAGGAGAATTCTTGAAAAGGAATGTAAACTATACTGAGCAAACATATCAACATAATATGCAGCTTTGGTCAAGTAGAAGGAGGCAGTTGAGTTTGAAGCTGTGGTAAATCCAAACAATAAATTACATCTCTACAATTGCTTTTTCCATTCACAAAAACTGTTTCCTAGTAAAATGATCTAGAAGTAACCCCCATCTGGCTTTTAAATTAAGAGGAGGGTTTCTATGCAGAGTATAATTGTATATAGAATGCAAGAATGAAGAAGGAATTTCCAAGAACGAGTTATTGTTTACTGTCACCAGATTCTGTATCTTGCTTCTGACTGTCACTGTTCTGAGTGTTGCTTTGCATTTCAAGCAGTTTCTGTTGTTCCTCCTCCTCCTCAGCTACTTGCGGATTTACATCTTTCACATCCTTGGGCTTGTTGCTTGTAGACTGCTGGTACATAACACCACCAGACATGCAGATCAACAGCCCCACTGTTCCAATAAGTTTGGAGTGTTTATCCCATATGACTAGATTTATCACCACTGTCAAAAGTTTATTAACTATGCCAAGAACAGTAAATCCTGTTGCAGAGATTGCTCTACGACAAGAAAATCCAAAGAAAGAGATGGCTAAACCAAATAAACACGATAGGGCTACTGGTAACACCACTTGAAAGCTGTGCCAATCTGACTCATCCTCAATTTCATGCTTAATCTTCTTCAATTCACCCATGATAAGGAGCTCTATAGGAAAAAGCAACAAAGCCTCAAGATTGTTGTACAGCACAAGACCCCATGTGTTCAGACCAATTGTCATAACCACGTGCTTGATGTAAACAAAATCAATAGACATGCTCACTAAGTAGGCCAACGCCCAGCTGTAAGCTGTAAGCGTAAACTGGTAATCTGTACTGACATAGAGCACGCTACCAGCAAAGATCGTACCAAGTGACAACCACGTTTTCATTGCTGGCCATGGCTGGTGCAAGTAGAGGGTCTCTCCTATTGCAACAAAGATGGGGACTGCTGATCTAAAGACAATAAAAGTATCAACATTGGCATGGAGGAGAAGCTCACTGTTCGTAAAAAGAGATAGATAGAATATAATTGCTGCAGGTAGGAATCGCCACATTGTTCGAAGATCAAGTTTATCGGGTTCTATAAGCTTGAGCCATCCACACATGAGAACTCCAGCTGCACTTGTGAAGTACTGCAATGCAGTTAGTGCACCGGGGTAAGGAAATTTCATTATGGCCCACTTGTTAATGATGGAGAGCAATGATGCTGAAAGACAGTACCCTGCAGCTATACCATAAACGGATGCCTGCTCAAGTAAGCCACTATACCAACTTGGTTGGTCACTGGGAGACGGTGAAGAAGGATCCAAAGACGTTGTGGCATCTCCACCTTCAGGATCTTCCACATCATTTGACATTTTAATCTAATAAACGAGCAAGGGGGAAAATTTCTATAAGTTTCAATCAACCATCAACAATTAAAATAGTTTACCCTTCACGCAAGCTAACCTAGCTGCTGTTTTTTCTTCTTTTTTGACAAGTAAAGGTACTATTAATATAAACTCAACACCAAGCTGGTACCGCGAGAAAGTACAACAAAGCTAGATACAATCTTCTAAAGCTGTAAGGAAACCAGATAATCCAGCATTTCATTAGCATTACACAAAATATGAACTCTGGATGCATCTATCTTTTGCAACAAAATGTTCTCCCCCTTCCCCTCAAAACATCTCTTGATCCTCTCAACCAAAGTTATTTACCACCATATGCAGAAACAATAGTTTTGCTATATGCATCAACCACTTTATCTAGCGGCCGATCATCCTTATAGAGTTATATCGCAGTCCTTAGAGGATGTGCTTCATAACATGTAGAAAATGGATCTCTTATTCCATTTATGCTCAATGATTCCAGAAATTGCTTTTATTTCAGTATTTACACTACACTAATGAACTGACTTAAAAATTTAACCGATTCAAGCTATTTTTGTCCAGGGCCGTTTTCTCTATTTCCTAAGCAGCTAAACTATAATTCGCTGATTCTTCCCCCTCTTGTGATACTACATTTGTTTTAGCCACAACAAAATCGGAAGGGCTGGTAGCTCTGAACTCTAATCCAGGATCCATTTGCAAGACTCACGAATAATCTCATTACCTTCTTGAGCAAGATCACGTCGTCCTTCATTACAAGCTTGTACTCATGCTTCTAGTCCTACTCGACTATTAAATCTGGGCACAAAATGGAATGATCTAAAACATCAGCTTTCCCTTCAATGCTAATACAGAATGGCATTACTCTTCAGGCGAAAATGCAATTCAGCCATTTACAGAAAGTCCACTATATTTGGAGTCCTAACTATCAAACCCCCTATTTATTACATTTGCATATCCGTGGAGAAGGCATGCTGTCACTAGGATGTTTTAACATTATCTACATTTCAATAAATTTGATTTGAGGTTCCAATATTACTACCACCACCACCAAAGATCTATCAACATTGTTGGCTGCATCTTGTATACTAAAGTTACATATAAGTACACATTGCTCAAACTAACACATTTCTCTATGAACAGATGAAAAACAGGAAATACACATCATACAGTATTTGAAGAATAGCATTGAATTGCCAATAGTCCCATTGTGCTTCAGATGCATACCTTAAGCAGAAAATAATTTCAAATCCTTCAAAGTCACTTGTACTCACTAGTTCTCCAGGAACAGTAGGCTGCATAAAATTAGCTTACTTTAGAAAAAAATTAACAAAACATAGTCGAAAAGCTTATAAATTTATCAATTTATATTGAATCCGCATCCATGAAAATAACAATGGATACAGTAGTATTCCAAAATGTAGAATTAGATCCACTTCTGGAAGGAGGAACTGACCAATTAATGGGAGAATAACGGTTGCCGGCGACGATCCGACGACGGCGCCGGTGGCTCGTAAACCAGAGTATGTGTGTGAGAGAGAGAACAGCGGAGGTGGAAAATGAAAGTGAGCATAATCGTAACTAGGCCTTCAAACTTTTTCTCAATGTCAAAAATGATTCCTCAAGTTATTTAAAATAACAAAAAAACCCTCAAGTTATACAATTACAGTTTGTACTCTTTAATTTTAGAAGTTAATCTCATTTGCATGCAAATTTTACTTGGAAACAAAAAAGGCACAAATTTTATTTTTCAATTTGGAATTTGTAGTCAAGGATGAGAAGATGCTCCAATTATTATAGTCCTAATCCACAATATGTATTGTCTTCTTACAACTACATGCACCAATCTATTTGAGTCGATTTGTATTTGAATGTTAAAAATCTTTTTAGTATTTTATAGTCTTATGGTATCAGTGAGAGTCTTGCACAGAATAAATGTAATTTCAATTTTCATCATACATATTCCCGTACAAGCTACGTAACAGATTTATTCATCAAAACTTAATTTTATCTTTTGCATTTGGATCATACATCTTGGTAATTATTCTTAATTATTATTTGGATGATTATTCTTTAGAGCATTGGTTACACTTGCCACTTCACTAATGCAATATGCTCTTTATAAAAGTTACTAGAGGAAAAAAGTGACAAGATTCACTAACATATAGCCAAATAAATAAGCCAAAGTTCATATACATATTGATAACTTAGTTTGACATAGTCATAAATTGGAATTAACATTTTTCTAGTAATTTTCTCTTGCAGTCTCTGTGTAACTAGTATATAGATCAACTCATAAATTTCAAGATTCAACAACAAATTAGTAATAATAGTATTAGCTAATACATTAAGCCACAATGGTTATGATTAGTACTACTACTAGTGTTGAAGTTGTGTCTAGGGAAACAATTAAACCATTATGTCCAACACCAAATCACATAAGAAACTATATTCTATCTTCTATTGATCAAAATTCTCCTCCCATTTACATTCCTGTGCTACTTTTCTACCTTAATAATACAAGTATTAACACTAATGAGAAGGAAAAAGCATATGAGAGGGAAGTGATTGTAGCTGCTCAAGCCAATTTATTCAGGTATGACTTCTTCGTCTTCTACGTAGAGGTATTGGACAGTGGCGAGACCAGGATTTTCACTAATCACTAAGGGATTCAACTACAACTTATATATTCATAAATATAATTTTACCTTATATACAGAGGCAAACTCAGGATTTGAAAACTTCGAGTACACTAAATATGATCTCTAAGCTAAACTTAAAATAAAAATAATGAAATAACCGTCTAGTTGGGTTCAAACCTTAATCTCGTGGGTGGTTCCTCCGCCTTGTATCAACAACACAAGAAGGTTACTATGTTCCTCATGGACGCACTGTTAATTATAGATAGATATACATAGATACACATAGGGGCGAGCCCACATAGGGTCAAGTGGGTTCATATGAACCTAGTTCGTTAAAAAATAACACCGCATATATATGTATATTTAATCAATTTTCAAAATTTTATATGTATATGTTAACTTTTGATCTCACTAACACAAGAGTGACCCTTGGCTTAGTGGTGAAAAAGACATAAAAGTTTGAATCCCCTACTTTGTGAAAATCCTAGGTATGTCACTGTGTACACATGATTTTTTTCAATGTTAACATATGCACGTGCACTCCACTGACAAAGGTGGGTCTGCCTCTGCTTATATATAATGTAATTTTCTAACAAAATGAATTCAGATGAATTCCTTGTACACATGATTTTTTTCAATGTTAACAAATGCACGCACACCCCACTGACAAAGGTAGGTCCACCTCTGCTTATATATAATGTACAAAGGTGGAGTCCCAACTCGAGTCCAAGCAGTTTCATCTCTCATATGGAGTCGCATACTCGCCCTTTATAGATCAAAGC